AAGCGTATTCTCTCTAATGGTAAAGAGATCTCATTCAACCAGCCAGTTTACATAAAAGCCATGACCATAAAGGAGGGTGTGGGATTCCCATTGAGACGGGTGTTCCAGCAGGTCACAAGATGTAAAAGACAGAAGGTAATTACGTCGGATGTGTAACTCGTGTCTGTGAGAATCTCGAGAATCGGTGTCACCACCAGAGCATGATTATGGCAAGCGTGAACGACTTAATGATTGCAATAATTTCGCCAGTTCAAACTCGTTAAGAGGGCTCCCGACACCCAAGTACATATCATTTGACTGATTTATTCAGAATAATTCTGTTTTTTGTTTAGACAATGAAGCTGTTAAAAAATGACAAAGCGAAGTTCAATGGAAGGTGTGCAGAAAATCAAGTATAAAAAAAGTATTTAAACATATTTTACATAATAATATGAAAATACTAATAAATAAAAAAGGAAAATACGTGATTAATGATGTAATTTGAAATTAACACATTTGCAGTACTCGTGTTTCTCAGTAAATTTTGTTACTTAACGAGTTTCCGATTTTCTCCGAAACGGTGTAGAATTATATTCAAATTGGCGTTTCACAGATATTTCACGTTCAATGCCTGAGCATAATGATGCTGGAACGATGTGCTTGCGAGTGGTGTCGTGCGATCAAGCGTGAAGTGCGTGAAACGTTTAGCGAGAGCATGCATCGAAGCACGCCGTGTGAAAGCGTATTATGTGTTACGTTACATGGAGTAACTCGCTTGAAAGTAGAATAGTTAGAAAAGAAAAAAAGAACAGAAGAGTACTATATTGCTTTCTCAAAAACTTTATGGAGTAGCTTTCTCGTTACTGTACATAGCAAGTCAGTAAAGGGAAGTGAGCTGACGAGGTAAACTGCTTCTTAACGCTCGATATGTTATACGCAATTGGAAATAACTTGATAATTAAATTTGAAGATATATACATACATGTTGAGTGAGGAACAATTATAAACAAGTTAGTTATAGCAATGCTCTGCTATTGCACAGCTTAGATCGTATTAATACTTCAAGTCCTTATCTACGGATCAGATGTAAGGTGCTTCTAACTACAGGCTGGCAAAAGACGGTGAAAGGATCATCAATCTGTCTAATATTTACAAAATACCCTGTGTAATTTGTTGTGATATAATTTAGAAAAATTGTTCGACGAGAATGTTTTATTTGATAAAAGGAAGGGATGGTGACATCCGTTCCTTTCATCAGCTATTATAATTTTCCACCTAACACGACTTTGCAATACTGAAATACAAAATTCACGTAATCTTCAATGGAATGAATGTTCGAGGATAATTTCTGGACGATGGAATGCACTGTATGATTTGATACGCACAGAAGAAAATCATCACTTGTTTACGTTTTTCAATAAAACTTGTATTTCCCACATTTATTTTATCTATCGTCACCTTCCTTTTATATTACACCTGAAAGTTGATCTGCTCGAGTGTGTTGCTCTTTACGCTTTGTCAAGTTGATGCGTGTATTGAAAGCACGGAACGAGTACATTGTCGTATTACATGCGGACTACACGGTTCTACTGTGACTCTACGCGTAGTCTACCTGAAGGCAGAGTCATACCTGTCGAACCGTCGCAGCCTTCGGTGTGAGAAGAACATCCTCCTTCTCCTTCAGCATCTAGCCCCGCACAACACACAACAACATCTGTATTTACTGAAGCTAGATCATTTTCTATCTATCTTCCTGGATACCGTGCTAATCACGTTAACAAATCTCGTTATGCGATCAATCACACGTGTGCCTTGCACCCCTGCTAATACTTTACACTGGAGGTGTTTTCCATATAATAAAAGCGTCTCTTAAAAATTTAGTTTCGTCAATCCATCAGGAAGACGGATGAACTTAATTGAGTTACTCATTTTAATTTAACTCCAAACGCACATGATTCGTGAAATTATACCTGATCCTATTAATGTATTTCCTAAAAAGTAATTACGACGTTATCTACGGTTTATATAATTGAATTAAATGAATTATGTACAACAATCAATGGCTATGTACAATGAGATAAATGGGAATGTCTGTATTCCCTATTTTCAATAATAGAATGAATGAAAAATTCATATTTCCCTGCCAGGTCGAGGAAAATCGAGTCCCAGCTTTTTAAATTGAAATTCGTATTTTAATTATTTTGTGATCATGCACGATCGTTCATCGAATCGTTTAATTCGCGCGACGAAGGCGAAAAAAACAGAAAAATAAATAACGAAGTTGGCAGGTTTTCCATATTACGCGATCAACATGACTATGACTGACATTGAACGATACTACATGCTCCATTGAAAAACCTGCGGACATCTAACAACACACACATGACATCGTGTTCACCAGCGCATTCGTTTAATGGCAGTATAGCGAGAACAGGGAGTGGAAATCAAACGGTGGACCATATATATGTGACGGGCCAGGGTTGATAATAATGGATCGGAGATGGTAAATCGCGCGGCGGACGTTTCGTTTCTCGTTATGTATATATCAGACAGAATGCGATCTGCTGGAACCTATAATTAACCTGAACTCGTTCGTTGCAGGTAAAAAACGGTACAATTCACTTCCTGCTGTACCCATAAATTACATTTAGCTATGTTGCTTTGGTCGCTCTTAACGAAATTAATTCTCTCCTGACATAAATCAGTGTTAGTTAAACGAGAAGATTAAAAACATATGCATTAACTATAAGAACACTAAGGGATATAAACAATTGTTAGTGTACATTCTACATATGATAAAATATTACATAGTACCATGTATTCTATTTTCAGTATCTTCTTTTTTTTATCAGTATTGCATTTTGTAGACAATTCGTAGAGGACAAATTTTAGTCGACAATTATTTTGATAAGATCGTATCAAATAGTCCTGGCTTATTTACTGAATGATTTAATATTAATATCCTTAAGTGTATTAAAACTACGTAGGTATTTTACGAGGTACGATACTCTTACCTTGTTCTTGTTTGTTCTTCTCCATTGCCATGTAAGCGATGCGTCGCTCCTGAAGTTCAGGCGAAGGTATCAAGCCCGCGGAACCGGCCGCGTTGTCCTTCTGCGCCTGCCACCAGTAATGATCGTCCTTGCTGATGATCTGTAGGATGTCGCCGGTTTTGAACGCGATCCCGGCTTGGGCGCAGGGTATCAGCTCGTCCTCCAACGGATCGTAGTCGAATTGCGCTCGTACGAATATCTGCCGGTGCACAGAGACAGAGATCGGATCGTTAGTTTCATTCGAGTGGAATTCTCCGAACGGAACGGTTTCAATCGGTTGTTGTGTCAGTCTGTGATCCTATATGAAATCGGTGAAATGACATCAAGAGTTCTCGATATTGTGACGCGGGCTAACATGAAACGGAGAGAACGTTAAAGGTGCAGAACACTGGGCTCGTGATGGTTAATATCTATTTGTAAATGTCGAGGGGGTCGGGTGTGTAGGTGTAGATACATAATAAGGTTGGTAAGTTCCACACTCAGATCACCGATTTAGGGGTTTTAATGGAGAACCGGAGAATTTACTTTTTGGCCTGGAACGCGAACCGTTTCGTTCTACGGTGGATATCGATCGCTACTTACGGTCGGCTAGGCTATAGTAGCTATCGGACGTGAATTAAAATATCGAATAGCTGCGAGAAACGTAAGCGGAGATATGCGGCAAACGCAAGCGCGCCAGTAGTTATTGCTGCGTATCATCCGTTCTTTGAACGTTCGCATTCCATTTCTCTTTCTCTGTCTCGTTTAATTTCGTTACAGCCAACAAGCGTAAACGGCTGATTTACGTACAATCAAATTTTGTGCTTTAGCTCGGATTGCAACCAGCGATCGATGCGCAGCACGAATCATCTGTCACGTCATTTAAAAATTGAAAACGCTATACGAAAGGGCAATTAGTTTCATTTCCCCGTATAAATATTGTTTTATTCTTCCTCAAAAGCAGCGGAGGGATTCCATTCTCATAATCAATTGAGCTGTGTACAGATTTTGATAACTCGATTCGCGAGTGAAAATGAGGCAACATTGTTCCATGCATTTGATAAAAATTCAATATTTCTATTTCCTGCTTAAAACATTAAAATTAAAAAAAAAATATGTAAATTGAGCAAGAGTAATAAATCGAATATTGATTTAATTTATGTTAATCAAGTTTCACTTGAATTTATTTTTAACTTAATTCCCGCCCTGTTTCTGTGTCCCTACGTTTGTCTGCAGGATAAAGAAACGTTGTCATCACGATGTCGTCGTTATTACAAGATTAGGAGCAACGATCGTTCATCTAGCGATGCATATACATGGGCACGCGATTCATTTCCTTTTGCCTCCGTACGTTCATTCCTATATTTTTATCTTTAACAGTAAGCTGAAGCACTAGATGCTGCACAGTAGTACACAGCACACTGACACACGTCGCATACGCACACGTACATACACGCTTAAAAAGATGCGCGATATGCAGAATATGCATTCGGGCACTACGTACACTACCGTTCACGAGTATTCGGACACTTGACAGAGTACAAACACATAGCCATAGCACTTGGCGGAAGCGCATGGTGAGTGAAGTTGAACATATGTATGACAAAGTCAGGAGGTATTTCATTTTCATTCTTCTCCGTGCTTTTAATTAAACAATTCGTATAAAATGTTTTAGAAAATTGAACGTCTAAATGAACATAATTGTGAAATATAAATAATGTACTTTTTAAACGAGAAGTGTGGTAAATCTACAATTTTCCGTTGAATTGCGTAACCGAATACTTATAAACGTCAGCGCAAATGTGCGAATAAGAAATACGGCATACGAAGGAGTAAGAATAATAATGCTGAGTGTGTGACAATAGAATTGCGCGCGAACACCATTCGCAATTGAAAATTCGGTCGACGACAGTTCAACAATGCGATTTCAAAGGGACGTGGTATATAGTGAGTGAAAAAAAGTAAAGATTATGTGTTTTGCCAGAGAGCCAGCCCTGCACGCATACCACCTTCTGAAATTCGTTTTCAGGTTTGCATTTAATTATGAGAAACGTATCTCAAATATGTGCGCTGTTCTGAATTTGATTTTTGGATTGAAAAAACATATTTTGAATCGGGTAGGAAAAATCGGCGAGAAAGTCTTTTCATGTAATCTGGGGCACGGATTTCTAATAAAAAGTGTGTTAAAAATGGCTTTCATCATTTCGAGTTTGAATAGCATCAATAGTTATTGAGAAATATAAAAGCTATTAAAGTATAATCATGCTTGTACAAACACGATCCACAGTTAGAACTTTATTTCTTACCTCCTTCAAAGAATTTTGAGAAATATGCAGTAGAGATAGAAAAATAAGCGTTAAGCGAATATTTGTGGTGCTCCATTACCCGAACATTTGAGAACCAAATTAAAAGACTTTCTTGAATCTCTCGAATAAGACATTCGATATGAAATTAGAGGATCTGTATTGAAAACAGGACGAGGATCAAGCGTGATAGTAAAAGTTTGAATCAGGAGAGGCTAACATATCCGTACAGGCCTAGTCTCTACAGCTAAATCTAATCGTGGTGGTTGAACGATCGCACAATCATCTACGCCTCCCAGTGACTACGAGGCTCGCCATAACAGTGTTTCCTTGCATTAGCAGTAAAAAGAAAAAGGATTCACGTGAATTGAAGTACTCTAGGTGAAAGAGATAGAGAGGGACAGAGGGGAAAGATTTCTATTTGAACGTAATGCGCGTTCCATAGGTACTGGACTAAAAAAAAAAGAGTAACGAAGAAATGAAAAGAGAAATGGAGTAATGAGGAAGCCTACGTTTTTGCGATGGTGTATGGTATTATGGTGATCGAATGATCGTGCAGCTTGGGTCTGGGTAAATTTCAGACTTCGTAACATTTGTACCGCTGCCAATGGCCAATACTTATCAATTTGATAATAACCAATAATGATTGTTTCTCCGTCCTTGCACATGGTATTCGCAGTTAACGAAACAAATGCACGCATAGTTAGTTGTCAAACGGCACGCTAGCAATTACAGCAAAGGCAGAAGCACCGACCAGTGGGGTGAACGCACGAGCATTTTCACGTTTTTCTGATCATTAGCCTCGGCGTTTAAGTATTGTTAATCAGGACGTATTTACTCAGACTCACACCGCACACGGTACACAATATGCGTTGTGTGTTTCAAATGTAATAGTAATAATATGTATGTGGGTATACGTAAGTATGTAATGATAAACGCATAGCCTTCTAACTACAGCAGTCCAATCACACCAGATCAAGTGGCGGTACTTACTAACACTGGTAGAGGCTTAATCCTGAACAACTAGAGCGTTGAAGAAACAGAAAAAAGGAAGATCGATTAATTAACATGTTCATCAAAACTTGATCTCGGTCGAATGTATCGAAACTCTATTTGTTCTTTCGTCAGTTTTCCCTTCGTTTCGTTCGCAATAGAGTTTAACCGATAGAGAGAAAGAGAGAGAGAGAGAGAGAGAGAGAGAGAGAAAGGAAATAAAAAGGTGGCACCTACGTTGGGATGTCGCGCGCGCGTCAACGCTTCCGAGATTTCACGGCGCGCATTGCTGTGACACATGCAGGTTTCTCTCCTTCTAGCTCTCCTCGCGAACTTTCTACGTATACCGTGTCAGCCGCGAATACCACTCGTACAGTCGGGGCGAAAAGTCGACCGTACGAAAACGATCGAGGAGATGCGAGCTGGAGAACCAAAGACGTCACGTCACTTCCCGTCGCATCACGCCGTTTCAGAGAATCGATTGCTGCTCGTCGAGAATTTTCGTCGACACGTTTCTCTCTCTTTTTTTTCAATACAATGATAAAAAAAGGGTACGTAAAGTGCACGGAGTGAACCCTGATTCGTGCAAATGATAAAAATTTGTCAGAAACGATCGAGCAAACGTGACGGATTCTTTTTACTCCAGTTCGGAAGTACATGCCGGGCGCGATTTTCGGTCTTCGCAAGAACTTTTCACAGTCACAATGCGGCGTTAAACGATAATCGCAAGGTATACGATTTCGAGACTGTACAAATACGTCTAACAGAAACAATGTACTACTGTTCGTGGTCTGTACATACTTCTATAAAACAGAAGAGGGAACATTTAACGGTTCGTGTATGTATGCACGTGAGAGTAAAGGTAGACAGACAATAAAAGTTTCAGGGATCAGTTTCACAGGGGAATCTTTATTTCACGTACCGTTTGCATTTAGTGTTTTTGATCAAAAAAGATCCTTTCAGGTATAACTATCAAATATGACCTCATGAGAAAGCAATGGAATATTTAATAACACGTATACCATTTTTTAATAATAATCTTATGATATTTATGAAACTGATCCACAACGATTAAAAGTGAGTTCAAGCCGCACTGTTCCCGCAAAGTAACTGCGAAGAATGGAATAGCCCCGGCGGATCTTTTAACAACTCGAGGAATATAGTAGTGCGACGGAAATGATGATTGAATGGTTGTCGTGCGTGCATCCGGGAAGGGAAGAAAGAAAAGAAACTATGTTCTACTTGGAAAGGGGAAGCTAAAGAGAAATGGAACGGGGGACGATAGACAAACAGTTGGAAAAATCCGGGAGAGGAGTGGAGAGACACGAAAACTTCTACACAGTGACACGTATATACGTATGTATAGCAGGTACTGCGCTATCGACAACTCGTCTGGTGGACTGACTGCTGCTGACGCTGTTGAAATTCTCTGCCCGATTTCCATTGGAACTGCGGTCTCTCTCTACCGCTCGAGCTATCGTCGGACCAGAAGGTGCATCACCTGTTTATCGTAGCGGTGTAGCCCTGGTCCTGCATCTCGCAAGTGAAAATGCAAAGAAAGGGACGCGTACCGTCAAGCAAAACCGACAGAACTTGCCCTGTGCATGGCAAGAAATTCGAGCTTCGAGCACCTCGTACGTTCGCATCGGATACTGTTATTTACGTGGAAATGGAAAATCTGGAGTGTTCTGCTAAAAGTCTGGGGATTCATAAATGAATCTCACACTGTCCCGAGCATTTTTCATTTCCAGCCTGATAACGATTTTCATTATCAATGGCTTTACTACACGTACATCTCTCGGAGTTGATTTTGCTCAAAGGTACAAGCTGTACACATATACAGTAACTAGATAATAATACTGACGCGAGGAAAATAGGCTAAAGACACAGATACGTAAAATTTACCTAATTGATCCACGCATACTGAAATAACGTGTGTGAAGAACACTTTACCAAGGATTGTTGTGTATTGGGACAATTGTTAACGAGTTTACGACAGAAGGTAACTTGCAAAACTTAAATCTAACTTCGCACGTGTATCATACATCAATCACGTCAATTACAGGACAAAGCGAACAGTTTTTATTCATTTAACATGGAACATTTATAAGCAAGGTACTTTAACTTTCTTTTCTCAACACATTCGAGACTTCCAGATAGACGACTTGTGGATTCTGTAGTTTAGACTGTAACGTTGATGCAAGAATTAGGTAATACAAAAATTTTTCAATTACTTTTAAATAAAGTGGCAGAGGTATTCTGTACTGAATTGGAGAATTTCTGCATGAATAATACATCTCAGTAAAAGGACAAAGTAGAAGTCATTTTACTATCTGTCCTTGTTACAACTTTATACAATATTTTAAATTTAAAAACCATCGGTACCCCATTGGAAATATTATCGTAATAATTGATCTCGAATATGTTAATACTTTGTACAACCCCGATTTCCAAAGATTGCCGTAAACTGCGACGACCGCACGGGTGTTGGTAGATGCACAGGGGAATACAACAAGAATAATCGTACAGGTTGTCAGGTGTACGTGCGAAAATCGAGAAAGAGATCGGAGTCCGCAGTCAATCGGGTTGTACGTGTGTGCGTGTGTGGTTCATGTAATATCTATATGACAGACAGAGAGAAGAGAAATCACGTTGGTGGTGACGTGTGCATGTTTCCAACAGTTCGTGCTTTATTATATCTTCGTACACAATACGCCAGCGCAAATAATACCCGCTGCTCGTTTTGTTGTCGCGTCGATGCCGCGCCGGGTCTCCGCTTTCGCGTGCAACACTCTCATCTATATACGTACAATAAAGAAAGATCACTTCCCAGATACACAGCGTAACGCGGTACAATTCGTATCTCTTATCATTTTACGCGAGTAGGGGTGGCCGGCCAGGCGAGCTTTTCGTTTAGGCCAGAACGCCTGTGGAGGTCCATCCGGTCGGTGGTCTCGTCACTGGTTGTCACGAGAGACAGGCTCGAAACGTATCTCGAGCGGGTTATGCGTGGAATGTGGAGGACTCGCAGAATTACAGATCGGTAACTGTAAACGCGATCGCTTAACCCGTTAACCGAGAAACTATTCAACCGGAGAACGTCGTTTGAAGAGAATAATCCTCGAACTGTCGCACTGACAACCCGTTTTACGCTTATCGTACGGATGTCGAAAATCAATTTTCAATACATCTATTATGTATTTAAATCTTACTTTCGTATACTTGTAATTACCCTCAATAAAATATAATATTAAATACAAATGCAGCATGACGTTACATTCTCTGTAGACCAGTGAATTTAGCAATCATCAAGTGTGTCTTGTAGAAAAAATATATATTACGAGGCAAGCACGTGGAAAGTTGTATTTCCCGGTTAAGAGGTCAGACTCGTGGATTTGGTAAAGTGCAAAAGTATGTCGAGCGCAAAACAGAAGTTCTAATTGTCTCCTTGCGATTTCAAAATTGTGTTTTAATTTTGTATTCGTACTGCAACTTACATTTGACTTTCTTGCTATACTAATTATTATAAATTTTAGCCTGTTTTGCGCCGATCCATTTGGCATGATTAGTACGACGATAATAAAATTGTGAATCACGTGAGATAAGTTTGATACATAACGGAATCCGGTATCGACAGACTTCGGAATTTCCTTGTAACATTTATACACATATATGCTTCTGTTGGAGAACAACAATTTACAATGCTTTACAAAACTTGTGTCGATTAAAGCCGTTTGTACGCACATGTAAATGACGTGACCTCACCTCGTGGCGGACTGCAATGTCTGTACGTAATGAAACGGGACCGCTGGATCAAACATCGAGACGTTATGTACGGAGCTATGTACAAGTCGAGACGTAAAAGTTACGCTTTTATAACCGCAAAATTAGGAAATCCTGTGAATCAATCCCGGCCGGTGATGGAAGGAGATCACCGATAATTAAAAAATTCCAATCTTTTTTCGAAAGCTATACCGGTCCACGATGGAATTTCTACAAATATCAGGCAACGAGGTTTTAATCTACGTTGAATTTTCAACAGGGAAAATTTAATAAATAACTGAAAGCTGAAGGATCTTAATCTCAAACACAGAGTAAAGGGACTTCTTAATAGAAACAAAATTGCTATGTCTACTATGTACATTTATAAGTATGATATACTAAAACATCGTAAAATGATGGTTGATGTAGACTTACCAACATAAATTAAGGAACGTCAGCATGATTCAAATATAAAATAATGTCACAGATTTTATGTCATTATTAATTTAAAGTGCGTAATAAAAATTGTCATAAGCGTACCGAATTCCATCGCGAATCAGTGGAAGGCAAAGAATATCAGAATTTCCAAATTACCGAAGTTCTCTTGTAAAACGATGATCTCACGTTTTACTCATTCCACGCTCGTGTAGGATTCAAGCAAAATTAAAACAAGAATCGATCATGGCCATTAATTCATCTTAACCACTTAATTTTCTGTTGGGTGTTCTACTTCAAGTACGAGGATCAGTTTCTCTACAATAACTCGTTATTGATTTGTCCTTGTTGAACCAGACAGATTCATCGAACTTCCTAAGAACGTCTCAAGTATTAAATTTAGATATACGAACAGAGAACGTAAGATCTCGTTTTTGGCTACCCTCAACTGCATGTTCGGAGATGTTTGCAGATTCATTCAACGATCTCAATAATAGGGAACTCGGTCGCTCGTGTGACGAGAGATCATGATCAGACGAGTGTTTCATGTTTTCCAAAAGCATTTCAACGATCGTTTTTAGATTCTGTTCAAAGGAAATAAGAATTTCATAAAACGTAATTGGACTTGTACTGTATATCTTGTCGCGTTAAAATTGAATTTCATCAGATAGTTCGAGGAGCATCGACTCAGATCTCGATTCAAGTTAGTGCAACGGACAATCTGTACGGTCTGATCGATCGACTGGCTGATCAAGATCAAGAGAGATCGCACAGTATGGATTAATGAATAAACCACGATGCAAGAAAACTATATAATGTAATATAATATAGTA